CATGTTAAATAGTGACTTAAAGTAGATGCATATTCAGATAAACAGTTAAACATAAGGCAGAAGTACTTGTTGTAGCCCTTCAATTTCCAAGATTTGCATACTCTTATTTAATTCAAGAGTTACATTTATGTTTTTAGGTATATCAGAAGCAAATACTTAAACAAATACAATCACATGACTAATAATTTGTTCAATTACTGTTCACAAAACAAAAGCAATTTTTCTCAATATTTAGCTCAACTTTTTCTACATGCTTCATAATACTGTCATGCTATCAGCTATACCCCATGCAATTAAACACAGCTAGGAAAAATACAAAGAAGAAAATAAAATCAGAAAGAAGAAACATGCCAGCTGTGAATGCACCTGATGCTCTCAGTGTGAAACAAGGCTGAAGGCTGTTCTATTATGGAGAAAACATCAACCTTACAGAAGCCTGAATTGAAACCAGCTAAGAAGTCTGAAAAAACAAAGGGCTTGACAGTACCATACAGGTATAGTCAACAGTAAGGAGCTTTGCCACCCACATCCACACAGCCAGACAAGCCTTTCATTCATATACTTTCTCTTACTCCCACTCAGCCCCACAGGTAGTGCTCAAAAAGTCTTTCAGGCATCCTGATGGATAAAGGAGGTAATTTAATATTAAGGCTTACACTGATTAAGAACAACACATACTTAACATGGCAAGTTCTACATCAAACTGTTAGAAAGAGTACTTGGGTTTCTACTGAGTTCATCAGCAACTTTCTAGAAGTCAGTCACTTCCTGTAGCTTCTCATCACCTGGAACCTGAAACAGCTGAAGTCAGTTCACTTAGAGGGGCATCTTGTTATTTCCTTACTATTCCTTCCTTCCATTTCAGAACATCACTGAGAAAGGGATCTGAGGTATTGGAACCTTAGCTAATTGGTTCCTGTTTCATTGATTCTTCAGTTTCACAAACACTTATGAGATAGACCTTTGTGATTTTTGCTTATAACTTTTCCAGAGGTACTGCCAGATAGAACTGTCCTGGCTGTTAGTATCTTCATTCTCTTTAGAGATTAAACTGATAAAGTTGGCAATACTAATTAGTGTTTATTTCATCCTACATGCAACCCAGAAATATATACACTGAAGAACACAGGCATTAGCTGTAGATATATGATGATGTGGCCCATGTTTGAAAAATTATCATGACAAACATCAGGTGTAAATCTCATATTATTAATATATATTAAAAGGTACAGGCACTAGAGAACATATGGAGAACCGGAGAACAAATCTTATTCTGTCACTGCTGTACAAATGCAGAATGGAGGCAGGTTTTTGTAAAGAGAGAGGAAACACTTGGTGGTCTACATCTTGATTTTAAAAGGCTTCTAACAATGTCTCACCATGGCAACGTACAGGAATATGGCTAGGTGATGCTGCTCTGTGATGGGTGCAAAACCAGTTCTTAGGTGTACTTATGAACAGCTATTAATGAAACTTTTTCAGAAAAGTAAGACTCATCAAACAAGGTTCCAGAGTCTGATCATGGTCTGTTTCTATTAATTTTTCACTCTTGACCAGGTTGATAGAAAATAAATTACACTCATCTAATTTCACATACAAGTAAGCGAAAAGGCATAGAAAATCTTCAGGAGGAAAGAATTAAAACTAGAGACGATCTTGCAAATTGAAGAAACAGTCTGGAAAAACAAAAGAAAGTATGCTATTCAACAGAGACAAATGTAAGGGTTTACATTTAAAAAGAAGTAAGTAAACAAATAAAGGATGGGAAACAGTGACGGCAGCTCTTTCAACAGGACACAAGGGCTGTAATAAATCACAAAAACATGAATCACCCACAGCATGCTGTTCTGAAAATGGAAAACATCTCACTGGGACGTAGAAACTGTAACAGAGCTTAAAAACACATGAAGTAATGGCTCTACTGGGGTATTCTGACAGTACTGTACTTCAACGAAGTAGTGAATCAGCCAGAGAAGGTCTAGAGAAGGACAGTAAGAACAATTTAAGGTATAAAATACAAGCCCTATAGAAAAAGACTGAAGCATTTAGAGCTATGTGGAGGCATAAGGAAAGATGCAAAAAAGGTTTTTTTAAGGTTTGGTCTATGCCAATAGTGAATAAGGTGAGAAATTATGATCTTAAATTGCATAAAGAAGAAAGATTCAGGTTATACTTTAGGAAAATCTTCCTAAGAGTAAGACAATGAATCAGCACAATAGGTTGCCTGGAAAGATTATGAAGCCTGCTTCTCATCAGAAGGGGATGGCCTAGATTATCTTGACAAGACGAATTTGAGCCCCATTTATCACCAGTCTATAACTATGTTCTTCCTTATGCAATACATACATACTTGCATGGAAGCATACATAAAACAGATAAACAGGACTCCTCAAAACTAAAAATAGAAAACTTGGGAAAGAAATATTTTTTTTTAATAAGTACCAAAACTTACACTATTATCCTTCCAATTTCCATCCCTTTAAAGCCAAAGCCATTTATAAAAGTGGGAGCAGGGTATGGCAAAAATCAAGGTATTTTCCAAACATGAAACTACATAATTGGCACAGACCTCAGTATTAAAAACTCTATAAGCTTTTATCTAATTAGGACAACTTGGTCTTCAACCAGTAATAAAATTGTAAAAATCCTTTCTTTTTTTCTTTATAGAGCAGAAAAATAACAGAAATTATCAAATTCAAATATTCATAGTTCGTACTTATATGCTGCAAACTAAGTATTACTAATTATACAGTAGCTGCCAAACTGCTCTCTCTTGTGTTTTGTGAAATGATAGATATCAAGATCCAGCAGGACAGGCTGCATCGTAATATCTGCAAGTAAAAATCAATGAATGTATACAATAAAACAGTATAATTGCATAGAGAAGATTTCATTACTTACCTGTCAAACACATACAAAGGTGAATCACAAAATGGATATTTATAAAATACATAAACTTTGATAAACTTGCTGGTTATAATCCTGTTTTATAACACTTCTGATTTGAGGAAGTGAATTTAACATTTTGTGGCAAAGCCTGTGTCTTACCCAGTATTTTAAAGTTTAGTAATTAGTTTTCAATTGATACTCAATTCAACTTCTGGCTACTGTACTGAAAGGTGTTATATCCTGATTACCTATTTCTAGACAAAAACAATTTATCAATGACAAGTCTCTTAAGTCTGTTAGCAATCTCTGACCTTTAAAATGCAGCACTCAGAAAGACATATTGATGTGACATATCCTGTGACTCAGGAGACCAGAGTTTCAGTTCTGTTTTTTTTAACCAGCTTTGCACAGACAAACTATTTCACCTGTCTTTGCAACCTGCCCCATCATTAAAAACATACAGGCATCCTTTATTAAGCACTCTGGGCCTCATTCAGATAATCTCCCCATTTAAGCTTGTCTAAGGCATTGCAACTGCTTTTGATGGGTGACCAGGTAGGCAGCTAGAATAACACCCTTCAGTGCCACAAAAATTTCACATGTCAAGATAAGAAGGGTGATTTCAATCTGAGGCCTAATTCCACTGAGGATACATCTGTCTTACGTTCCCCTGCCAAACCATCTTGAACTTGAGAACTCATGTGCAGATGGTTTTAGGTTCTACTGTGAACTCAGCCCATGTTCATCCAGGCATGGCAATAACTCTGAAGGTTGACTGAGAGATCAGACAGGGTTATACTTTGATATCTACTGAAGAAAAAAAATTATATAAAATTTGATACTATGAGCAGTGCTATTCAGCTAGCAGTACTCATACAACTGGTATGCTTCTGACTCCCAGAGGAAACAGAATGGTGCTTGGTTGAAATCAGGTTTTTCTCCCTTTCTTACAAGAAAAAAAAAGAATGGACACAAATGGCAGTTTCTGTTTAGAAATTATTTTGGTATCACAGAGTACTTGTAGCAGGATTCTGAAATTATTTCTTGCAACTCTCTGGCTCATTCTGTAAATTCAGCAACCTTGGAAACAACTGAAGTCATTTCAGCTGTAAAGGCTTTCAATACTCAAAAAAAACATTTTGGATTGCAGTCCTTCAGTCATTAAACCTTTTGACTACCTTCAAATTCAGCTGGGGACAAGATAACAGTCTGAAGCCCAGACTAGGAAAAGTGAAAAAAAAAAAGTTTATCAAGTCAAAGAGATGCATCAGAAGGAATGCAGCCTGTGGGTATGCTCTATTATTTGAAGGGACTTTCCTACCTGCCCAGAAATAAAACTTTACAGCTGCAGGCTCCTGTTTGACCTTTGTCTGTTAAATAAATGTGAGATAACCAAAATGTTTTGACAGAGTAACTGCGTATTTTCCATTGGGATGTGGATCTTGCCACAGCTGCCCATGCTCTTGCCACCTTTCCTGATTTTTTGTTCTACACTCATTTCCCCATGGGGATAGCATGACACATTGCATCTATCAGAGATCATATTCTCCTGGTGACTCTGCAGGGTTTTTCACAGAACACAAATTGCACCTGTATTGCAAATCTTCCTGACTCTCAATCATTTTTCTGAGTGATATTCTGACTAACACAGTTTGGATCAAGATTGGCACAGATACATTATATCTCTTTCTCACTCCTCTTCTTAGTAACAAGATGATTACCAAAGTAATTCTAGGTGTTTGTTTGGTTGGTTTTTTTTCCTGAAAATTATTAGTAAAATTAGACAAACAGGATGAATTATTTAGTCTAAAATGAATCATAAATAAAACACAAAAATTTGTCATCACATTCATATACTGGTGATAATCAACAGTTGGCCACTTATGAAGACATTGTTTTAAAGTTATTTAAATCCTGGGATCCCAGGCAATATAAAAATATATCATAACTACAAAGCAAATAGCAAGCTTCTCTTTCTGGCACGTGCCCTATTTGAGCAGAATACTGATAGCACTCGATGCCTTTTCAGCGCAGACATGAACTATCTGTTCTACTAGTTTTAAAAACATTTTTAAATGGATACTGAAATTGATTTTACCAGTAAGACAGACCTATCTCATTAAAGCCACTGTAGCCCAGCTCTTGCCTGCTTAGTCCCAGATCTTCAAGGTCCATGCATTTAAATCCCGGTGGGCACTGGTAACCTTCTTCTAGCTCTCTGGAACAGTGGGTGTCTGGGATAGCTAAATTATTCCAGGTTACATTTCTGTGAAAAATACAAAAATTAAGGTGTTACATAAATTCAGCCCATAGCAAAACTAAATATTTGAAAGCGAGAGGACTACAGTGAAAAGTACATCAGCTGTTATTTTTACTATCTGATGTTCTTTGGTATACACTATTTTCATTAATTAAGGACTTACTGTAAAGGGCAAGATAACACTCTCCTAAAACTTCAACCTTATGTAGAGAGAGTACAAATACTAACAGCAGAAATTTCATGCTAATGCCTAGAAAGCCCATAAAAACGAAGACTCTCCAAGAAATGAAGGTTTTGACATTCAGCTGCTCCAACTGCTCTGTAATGCAATTTGGACACTTAGTGTTTCGGGCTTCTTTGCAGATCCTGAGAGTGTGTTCAACTGCAGTCAATACTATGACTTTGACTTCCAAAGGCATTACCTGTGCTACCATTACATGTGTAGTATAATTAGTATCTAGGCACTGCTGTGACTGAAACAGATTTGATTTTAGTCCAGTAATGATCCGTTAGAATAGGTGAAAAAATTTTACCTGATTTGAATTTTTTCAAACTGATTTATGTTGACGACTGTAACACTGAAAAATAGAAAGATCATGAGACAAGGGCCAATGCCTCAACACAGTGTGTTGATCATTTCTTACTGTTGTCAGAGGCCAAGCATCACTTGTCTTCCCAGCTCCTCTGGCAGCTGTGACTGAGCTGCTGGAGGCTCTCTCATGCTGGACCACAACAGGAATTTAGGTAGGTCCAGCGCTAAGGGACATAGAAGCTAAAAGGGGAGGGTGGACAAGTTTGTTGCTCCCTGTTCTGTTAGATATGTGCCTGTGGCATGTACATATAAACATGGCTTATTTAAGTACTCCAAACTCTGGGAAGGAGAAGCACAGGCAGTTGATTCCTCCTAATAATTTACAGCACTCAGTTAATAACCACAATACATAGTACTTTGCCAAAACCAAACAGTGATCGCCCTATTTCCTAAGTTGTAGTTTAGTTAAGAGGTAACTTCAGCAAACTGCCCCTCTCCATCCTGAGCACATCCCTGTTAGTGTCTGCAAAGCAACACAGCACAGAAGTGGGAAATCTACGTTCCTTGGGGCAAATATACTGAAAGACAATATATTAGCAGTAGTAAAATATTACAGTATCTACACATTGAATTTAAAGAAACTATTGGGTCATCTAATCAGACTTCATTTTGTTTCCCTTCTATGAAACCTTATAGCTTGTGTCTGACTCCAGTGTGTCTCCTAGATGTGTGTCTATTCTTGACTAGTTTGCAGAAGAACAATCATAAGCATAGAAACTTTTTGTTTACTGCAAAAACTGTTTCACTGTTAAGAAAATGTTCCTAATTTATCACCTTTATTTGTCTGGCTTCAACAGCTGGCTTCCTATTCTTGTTATACTTTTTTATGCTAGATTGCACAGAACCTTAATTCCTAGTATTTTCTCTGTGTGAATCCACTTACAAAAACTGAAGCACCTTTCAATATGCTTTTTAACATTAAACTAACATTATTTAGCTCTTTAGGTCTTACTGCAAAGTATGTTCTTCAGTGTTCTCTATTATTCCCTCAATTTTTTAAATATTAAAATAGGATCAAAACCATGTATGTAATATTAATCATAATTTGTATGAGTGCCACACACCAAGGAACATTAATTCATTATTTCTTTCTCTGTACAGTCTAGCAAAGCACTGGCTTTTTCTTGCCATAATGTTACTGGGACAAATATGAGAGGATACCTTGTTACATCCCCTCATCTCAAACTCTCATGTAGCATTTTTATTCTATAATATTTTCATCTTCTTTTTATTCCAGAGGTCACAGGCCACAAGATTTGCTTTCGGTGATTCTACTGATATAACTTTGCATTTGGCTGTATTAAAGCACATTTTATTTTGTAGAATCAAGGCAACCAAATGATTCTGATAACTTGTCAGAGTGCCTTGTCCTTCTTGTTATTTATGTTTCTATCCTTACTCTTGATTTTGTACATGTTTCTCCCTCATTGATTCTGGTAGTTCAAGATAATCATTTCACTCACAAGTATTTTTTGACATATCAATTAATCAATTTTCAGCCCATTTAGCTTGTGTTTTATTGATATTATACAGTGCAAACTTTTTAATCAGTCATGTTAGTGACTGAATTGCTTTACAAAGTCTAATCTAGGCAATTTTATTAGACAAATCCGTAATCTTATAAAAATCATATTACTATGATGAGAATTATTTTCTCTAAAATCCTTCTTCCTTGGATTTATTATATTAACTTTCTTTACTCTTTAACAATTAAATTTTTTATCAGCTCACTCTTTTGTCTTGGTTGATGTCAGACTAACCAATTTTGCTGCTTGTTCTTTAAAAATTTATGGTACATTAGCATTCTGGAATTTCCCTGCTATTTCAAGATTTATTAAAAATTAATGGAAGAGATGCCCTCAGTTATTTGGGTCTGTTGATTTGAATATAATTATCCCTAGCAGATGCTGTCTGATATTCTCCTCAGTTACTAATTCTTGATTAGTGAAATCTGTGTCTGCCAAGCTAAAATGTAAAAAATGGAATGTTGCCAAAGTTAAGCTTTGTGTTTATACTGTTTGTAAAGCTATGAGTCCTGTAAGCATGCCCTATCTTATTTTTTATGTGATAAAAATAATTAATAGATATCAGAGACAATCTGTTACCAGAAAGGGCTGAAAGCTTTATAGTAGTAATCACAGATATAATTATGAGAAACATTAAATATGGATGAAATTTTCACACTTACAGTTTAAAAGATAAAACAGACTTTGTTGTTGGATTAAAAACAGAAAAGTGGTTCTGTAAGTACAGTACATGATGACTTTAGACTTAAATTTCAGTAAAAGTAAAACATAACATTTAAAAATGACCCTTAGAATGCTAAGACTATAAAATATCAGAGGAAGATTGGTGCCTAAACAAATCTGTAATCCTTAAACAAGAAAAGTACTTTCTGAAACTTCTCTTAACTGTCACCAGTGATTTTGGATGACAGTGCTACTGGAGTCTCTAGAACCTGTAATGACACCGGTAGCAGCATTGTCCTAAGCTGCAGTCTCTTTCTGCACAAACTAGAAGATCTATCAGTAGATCTTAATTGCAGTACTACTCCCGTTCACTGAACTTAATGATTATATATGTGCCTGACTCTAGTGACAGGAGAGTTTGCTGATACTGAGTTTTCTCAGAAAAAAATCATGCCCAATAATAATGATAAACTACTACTGCAAATTTTAGAAATACCAATACAACTGATTTATATGTTTATATTGTCCTTGTTAAGCTGAGGTCATAATATGGTAATAATTATGACAATGATAAATATAAAACTTCATTATAGAAACAAAGCTGTTATAATTATTAAAGCACAATATTATTATTCTAAAAATTGTGCAGGAACTGCTGTTATTACTGTTAGGTCTGTAAAAAAACCACTAGTGTAAGGAAGTGGTCAGGGAACCATCTGTTAATAGCAGTTGTATGCTCAGAGTTTCCCACTGGAGAAAATAGACTTGACTGGATGAGCACAGTAAGAATTAAGATATGGCTTTGGAAATAAGACACATATAAAAAGACAAATCAAAGGAAATTTGCCTAGGTGCTTAGACTGTTTTCATGGTCACTAAGCAACCAATAAACTTAAATCTTTCTCCACATTTGTTTTTTTTTTTTACAAGGACTCAGATAAAAAACAAGCACTTTTCCATCTAGGCTTCCTATCTTTTATATTCCCAGAGTCTCTCAAAACAAGTGTAACTTGGAATAAAAAAATAAATATTTTCATATTTTTGACTTTGTAATGAGCCATCTGAGCTTTTAACAGGATATATTCTAAACAGAAAAGTTATTTAAAACTTACCTTCTGCACTGCGTTACAGGTATATTACAGCAAGAACCTTAATTTCAAATTTTCTGATTCTTACTGGTATAAAATTAAAACCATTAATTACTGTTATGCTATTACCTTTTTTTCTTTTTAATTCTTTAAATTCTTCTAGGGAAATCTTTTGATTGGAAAACAACATTCTGTGCTCTAAAACAGGCTAGTGGCATAGGGGGAAAACAAACTAAGATTGATGACTGGGACGGAAATATAAAGTGTCATTTCTTTTTTTTTTTTAACTTGAAGGGCCTGATGCAGCTACCCATGTATGGCATTTGGTGTTAATGATGTACTCAAGACACTTATGTGGGGCATTGGGCACTCAGAGACTTGTGACCTCCTAGATGAGCATCTAAATGTTGAGGGCTACCATGAGGCATCGTAAAAGCACAAGCAATCTGTGTGCGGAAAATAAAATTCAGTTACAAGTCTTGGGTATTGTATTTGTATGGACTGAACTGCAGGAGGGAGCTTTAAATCTAGAATGTGAAGTGCTGGTGATTAAAAATCTTATTCTGCATTTGGTGTAAAAATCTGTTCTTTTGTATGATTAAGTGTATGAGTAAGGCATTTTTAAAAAGAAGTTAGTATTTGCTACCCTAGCAATTAGCATTTGCTATATCAGATCTGTGACCTGGGAGGTTCCGCTGCCATTATTCTGCCACTCTATACATATCTTGCCCTTACATTTTATTATTTCAAATAATTCTCCAAAGCATTGCTAAAATCAGAATACTTGTGGCATAACTGACCTTACTTTCCCACTAGGAATTCAGCTTGTAAATTACATCTCATTTCATAAAATACTGATATGATATGGAATTTAAAACCTAAAATAAAAAAAAAATGGGCTATATTAATTGTCCAGAATGATGCACTGAAGTTGTTTCAGAGAAGTAGATCATTCTGATTTTCAAAATGATGACAAATTAATAGATAGAATTCACCTATATATGTAAGAGAGTAGTATACTAATACCCATGAGATAACTTGTCTAAAGTCAATGTAGAACCACAGTATTACTTCATCAGAAAACCCTTATTGATTGATCCTAGCCCAGAACCCATTTAATTTGAGCTTCAGGAACAA